GACGGCGTCGCGGGCGCACCCGGGGGAGGAGCCGGCGCCTGCAGAGCAGGGCGGAGCCCAGCAATTGGCGAGCTGCGCGGGCGGCGGGCCGCCAGGGTGGCGGGCTGGGGGCGCGGGGGCTGGCAGCGGCAGCACAAGCCGGCTGCGGCGGGCACGGTGCGCGGCCCACCGCCGGCGCAGCGCGGCGGAGGCGAGGCGCGAACGCGGCGGAGGCCAGGCAAAGCGGAGGAGCGGCGGGAGAGTGCCGAGCGCCCGGCGGCCGCAGAGCGGCGCGTGGAGGCCACGCAGAAAGGCCAGGCGCGGCAGGGCACAGGGCGAAGAAACGGACAGCCGAGCCCAAGGCCAGCACGCATCACAGGCAAGGGCCGGGCGGCGCACAGCGGAAGCGGAAGCTGGGCACGGCTCCCGGCGGGCAGCCGGGAGGCAAAAAGAGGGGGCGCCGCATCGGCGATGCTCCCCAAGGCGGTGCAGCGCGAGCTGCTGGCAGGGGCGGTAACCAGTCTGCACAGCCCATAGGGCGGCGCGTGCGTCAAACGGGCCGAGGCCAGTGGGGCCCGCGGCGGAGCGCGCTTCGCGGCGTCACAGCAACGAGCGGGGGGGGGGGGGGCGCGCGCAACCGGAAGAGGCTGTCCCGCCGAGCGCAATGGCCAGAGCCCGCGGCCAATGCATTCACAGGCGACCGCGAGCTGGGCCGGGCATCAGCCAGCGCGAGGCGCAGCACCAGGGTGGGACGCTGCGCCGGCAGGGGATGGGCCCCGTCGGCCTGCGCGGAGGCGCGTGCCTCAAACGACGCCAGGGGAAACGGGGCCCAGGGCAGCGACGTGGGAGGCGAGTGCGCCCGCGGCAGCACGAGGGGCGCATCACCTGGAGTGGATGGCGCGAACCTCCCAGGCAGCAACCAGGAGCACATAACCAGTGCACAAACAGGTGGTCGCGAGCTGGGAAGGAGCCACAGCGGGAGAAAGGCCCGGCACCTGGGGAAGATGCCGCGCCCGCTAGCACCACCCAGGGCAGATGAGCGCGCTGAATGGGACGGCCCTCCCCAAAGGAAATTGTGGCATTGCTCTCACGCCAAGTCGGCGGCACCGGGCCCGCAACCAGCCCCTCCACCAGCAGCTGCACCGACAGCGTCTGTCGGGGCACCCGCGCATACAGAAGACGGGCACGCCCGACCAGGACCCCGAAGCGAGTCCAACTGCAGCGACAGGGGAGGCGCCGCCCGCCTCCGACGGAGGCGAAGAAGTCGCGAAGGCCCCCCCAAAGGGAAAGCGCGGCCTCGCTCTCACACCAGGTCGGCGGCGAAGGGTTCAGGCCGGCACGTCGAGCGAGGCGCCGGCGCGTGCGCAGGGGGGGCCCAGGGCCCCAGCGCCCTGCTCCGCAGCGACATCGCCAGCGTCGCGGAGGTCGTCGTCGCCCGAGCCAGCGCCGAGCAAAGTCGGCACGGACGGGCCGGGTCGACGGCCACCGTCGCGGCCAGGCGGCAGCGGAGCGTCAGCCGCCACCGGGGATGCTCAGGGCTGCATGGAGGCTCGCCGCCAGGGCGGGCGGCGCGCGCAGCGGCGAGGGCGGGGCCGGGCACGGAAGGCCCGCGCCCGCCGCCCTCCACCCCCCCGGCCTAGCCCCCCACTGCAGGAGCGCCGCCTTCGCGCAGCACGGGCACACACCGGCCTCCATCCCCCAGGCGGCAGATAGCGGCGACGCCTGCCTCATCGAAGCGACGGCGGCCTCAGCGGCCCCCGCGTCGACTTCCAACGCCCAGCCGCCCCCCCCGTAGGCGCGCGCCCCCGGGCGGAAGTCGCACCAGCCGGGCGGCCCGCCGCACACTGCGCGGCCCGCGAGCAGCCGCGGCGAAAGGGCTCGCCCCGCGCCCCGCACATGGCGCCGCGCATCAGATCACCAGAAGCGCGGCAGTGGACTCCAGGTTTGGCCAGCCAAGCGCGCCAGTCAAGCTGGGCCGCCATGCTCGAGCAGGGCCGCGCGCAGCGGCGCCGCCCGGGCCGCGCACAATCGAGCAGCGCGCCATGGGCCCAGGCACCGCACAAGTCAGCGTCGAGCAGCGCGTCGCCGCCCCGGGCGCCAGCAGCGCTGCAAGTTGCCGCCGCCGCCACGCATCCGGAGCCCGCGGCCCCCCCAACTTCCCCCGCCCCCGACGCAATGCCAGCCATTGGAGCGGCAAAAGCGCTATCGCGGCTGGACGGGGAGCTCTGGCCCCGGCAGAAATAACCCGTTGTCTCGGACCAAGCGCGCCGGCGCCACCAGGCAGCGGGCGTTCATCGAAGCGGGCCCGCAGCGCGGCAGCGAGGCTTTTGAGGCGTGCCAAACACGGGCGGGGGAGGGCGAGCGACTCCACGATTCCTCGGCCCACGAGCGCCACCGATAGCACCCCCGCGCTCCGGGGCCCGTTCAGGGGGGGCCCGACGGCACCCGACATCACCGTCGCCGACGCGCACGCCACCGATCGCAGCCATCGCTCGCGGCACGGCCCCCAACCCCCACAGAGGGAACGGAGAAAGGAGGAGGAAGAGGAGGAGGAGGAAGGGGAGGAGAAAGAGGAGGAGGAGGAGGAGGGCGAGGAGGAGGAGGAGGAGGAGGAAGAAGAAGAAGAAGAAGAAGACACGGAGGAGGAGGAGGAGGAGGAAAAGGGGGGAAGGCAGAGCGGCGAAACTGAGTCGCCGCTTCTCCCGCCCTGGTCGACACAGCCGCGGCCGCGGGACTCGCCAGCAGCGCGAGGGGCGACTCGGGCACTCCCAGACAGCGTTCATTCAGGCGCACTGGCGCGAGGTTCTCCTGGGGCCATCGACGCCACAGGGGAAGACTGGAGTCCGCACAGTTGTTCGCGGTCGCGCTACTGGAGCCCGTTGCGCCGCTGGAGCTCGCTCGCCCCGCTGCTTCGCGCTGCTGGAGTTCGCACTGTTGGTCGCGATGGTGCTGCTGGAGTCCGCCACCCTGCTGCCTGTCGTAATGCTGGAGTCCGCAACGCTGCCCGTGGTGGTGCTGCTGGGGCCCATCGCGCTGCGAGCGGCGGCGCTGTCGGAGTCGGTCACGCCACCCACGGCGCCGCCGCCGCGCAGCCTGCGGCGCTGACGCTGGAGCCCGTCGCGCTGCTCGCAATGGCGCTGCTGGAGGCCGTCGCGTCGTTTTCGCGGCTGCGCATGCGGGGACGCCGACGCCTGTGCATCCAGATGCGAGGGCGAGGATGCCAGCGCCGGTGTTCCCAGACGCGCTGGCGAGGAAGGTCGCGACAGCAGTCCAGGCCGCGTTGACAGGGGCGATGGCACCGGTGCTCTCGGCTGTGTTTGCGAGGAGGCAGACGTCGGAGCTCCCCGCTGCGCCGGCGGGGATGCTGGCGTCGGAGCTCCTCGCGGTGGTCGCGAAGGCGTCGTTGCTGGCGGTAGCGAATATGCTCGCGCCGGTGCTCTCGGCCGCACTGGCGAAGCGGGGCGCATCGGAGCCCCCGGAAGCGATGGCGAGGATGCCGACGTCAGAGACCTCGGCTGCGCAGTCGGGGCGCCGTCGTCGGTGCCCCTGGCTGTGGAGGCGAAGCCCCTGGCGCCAGCGCCCCTTGCCAAGCTGGCGGGGACGCTGACGTCGGCGCTCCACGCTGCGCCGGCGACAACGCCGGCGTCGGCGCCCCCCGCCGCGCCACCGAGGACGCTGACCACGGCGGCCTAGGCTGCGTTTACGGGGAGGCCAGCGTCGGCGACCCAGGCCCCGCCGACGAGGATGCAAGGGTCGGTGCTCTTGGCCGCGCCAGCGTGGACGGCTGCGTCGCCGCCCCTGACTGCGATGGCGACGCTGCTGGCGTCCGCGCCCTCGGCTTTACAGGCGAGGCGCTGACGTCCGCGGGCGCAGATGCGAAGGCGAGGACGCTGGCGCTGGCGCACCCCGCTGAACGGGCACGGACGCAGGCGACCGGGACCAAGGCAGCGCTAACGGGCGGGATTGCTGACGTCAGTGCTCTCGGCTGCGCTGGCGGGGACGCTGGCGTCGGTGCTCCCGGCTGCGCTGGCAAAGCTCCAGGCGTCGGCGCTCCTTGCCGAGCTGGCGGGGATGCCGGCGTCGGTGCTCCACGCTGCGCTGGCGAGGATGCCGGCCGGCGTCGGCAGTCCACGCAGTGCCACCGAGGATGCCGACCGCAGTGGCCTAGGCTGCGCCGACGGGGACGCTGGCGTCGGTAGCCCAGGCTCTGCTGACGCGGACGCTGTCGCCCGTGCCCTCGGCCCTCGGCTGCGCTGGCGAGGGCGACGGCAGCGGCGCAGCCAGCTGCAATGGCGACGACGCTGACGTCCGCGGTCACGGACGTGCACGCGGGAGCGCTGACGTCTGCGCCCCCCGATGCGGAAGCGAGGACGCTGGCGTCGGCGCCCCCTGCTGCGCTGGCACAGGCGCGGGCGACGTGGACCCAAGCTGCGCTGACGGGGGCGCCGGAACTCCTGGCTGCGCAGGCGAAGCGCCTCGCAGCGGCGCCCCCAGCTGAGCTGGCGAGAACGCTGACGTCGGTGCCCCTCGCCGCGCCGGCGAGGACGCTGGCGTCGGCGCTCCAGGTCGTGCTGACGAGGATGTGGGGAGTCGGCGCTGTCGGTCATTTGAAAGGATGCTGTCGTCGGTGCTGCTGGCCACGCAGGCGAAGAAGCTGCCGTTGGCACCACCTGATACGTTGGTGCGGATGCTGACACCAGACCCCCAAGCTGCGCGCTGCGCCGACTTCGGCGCCCCCGATTGTGCCGGCCAGGATGCTGGCGTCGGCGCCCCCGAGTGTGCTGACGAAGGCGCTGGCGCCGGTAATCTAGGCTGTGCTGCCCGGGATGCTGACGCTGGTAATCTTGGCTGCGCTGTCAAGGACGCTGACATCGGAGCTCCCCGCTGTGCTGGCGGAGATCCGGGCGTCGGCGCCCCCAGCTCCAACAGCAAAGACGCTGGCATCGGTGCCCCATGCTGGCTTGGCGAGGATGCTGGCGTCGGTGTTCCCCGCTGTGCTTCCGAGGATGCTGACCGCGGCG